ATATAGTAGTAGTGTAGTAGTAAGTAGTAGTAGTGGTAGGTAGTAGTAAGTAATAAAGTAATAATATATATATATATATATATATATATATATATATGTGTGTGTGTGTGTGTGTGTGTGTGTGTGTGTGTGTGTATATATATATATATATATATATATATATATATATATATCATCATTCAAATTTGCCTTTAATTTAACGAAAATCTTCAATTGTTTAGACGCGCCCTAAACCTAGTGCACTATGGCCCGCCTGCAACCCACCTACACGTTGTCTGCGTGTCGCAATAGCCGACATCATATCCTATTTAATTGCCTTTAAAGTACACTTTTTGTCAACGGCAGGTAAAGAGATATCATTAGAAAATTCAGATATAACGGAATCACTATCCTCGTCTTCAGATACTGAACACGAGCTGGCAGCACTGCTGCCAAGCCCAATCCGTGACTTCTTACCCTAAATGTATGCACGAATAGTATATATATATGAATGTATATGAGTGTGACAGTATTATGTGCGAGGGTTTTAGGGTTGTAGTAGTCGTGCGATGTATGTGTGTCGATGACTATATCATTATATGATACGCGTATACACACGCACATATATATATATTTAAAACATAATTCTTTCTGCACTAGATACAATACAGAGCAATCATAATGTACTATATATTATATATATCATTATATATCTATGAGAAGATACGACGATGAAGAACTATATACAGTAATACATGAATGTGCGTTGATAACTATGTCATTATAAGATACGTATACACACATGCAAATACTACTATCTTTAATACATAATTCTTTCCACACTAGATACAATACAAAACAATAATAATGTATTATATATGTACCAATCTATATCTATGAGATACGACGATGAAGATATATATAGTAATATATGAATGTGTATTGACAACTATAACATTATATGATACGTATATACACATGCACATACTGCTATCATTAATACATAACTATTTCTACATTAGGTACAATATAGAGCAGTCATAACGTATTCTATATTATATATATCAATCTATATCTATGAGAAGGATACGACGATGAAGAAATATATAAGTAATACATGAATGTGTGTTGATAACTATATCATAATATGATACGTATATACACATGCACATACTGCTATCTTTAATACATAAGTATTCATTCTACACTAGATACAATACAGAGCAATCATAATGTATTATATACTATATACATCAATCATCTATGAGATACGACGATGAATATATATAGTAATACATGAATGTGTGTTGATAATCATATCATTATATGATACGTATATACACACGCACATACTGCTATCTTTAATACATAATTATTTCTACACTAGATACAACCCCTAACTGCGATACTGCATCATGTTCGTGTTGTGCGGACTGGCTAGGCCAGTCAAAACATTGTTCAAACGTCCTATGGGCTGCTAATTAGTCAGAGGGAGACCTTGATTGCCAACGACGGCCTGAAAAGTCGCATTAGGATTGAAGTATCTGGATTTTCGGACCGAAGATGGATTAAAAAAATCAAAAGAAGAATGAATTGTTGTTGGGAAATGGTCTGATGACTAATTAATCTATAAAAATATAAATATAAAAATGCTCATCAGATACATAAACTGGGCACCTGTTAATTTCTGCATATATTACTAATCACTCCAATTTGCTCTAGATTTATAATAATAATAAAAGTCACATTAGAATTGAACTGTCCTCGGAAGACTTTGCTCCTGTCGTAATTTGCAAGCTCCTTTCAGCTATCCGGTTCTGAGGGAGATCAACTCCTGTAATTTGTCAATAAAACGAACTTCTCCGTCCACTATTATCCTCGAGATAAAATCGAATAATACACCTAAAGTAACTAGTCGTAAAAATGTAGTAAACACATCAAAATACGATACTAAAACCTACTGAGTCTCCCTGAGGCTCAGTGCGGTGTAGTTATTCTTATATTTGATTGTCTACTTGGTCTACAAATCATTCACCTCGTGTGAATTAATTGTAAACTAATTCTAACTCCACACTGATAGTGGTTTAAGGGGACTTTACTACAATGGCTGGTAGAAACACGTGGCTTGAAAGTGAGCTAGTGCATGATTTCGGTCGGAAGTGTTGATGTATTTGTATGCTACTGTTACTATCTGTCGCACAGA